TCCGGCACTGCCTAGAACTGAGGATGCGGTCACTGCCATTACCACAAGAAGTGATTCTTAGTAGGGTGGCCTTCCGCTGTAACTCTACTACGCAGTGTAGCGGAGTGAGTTCCATGAGAACTTCCAGTGCCGCAGTGGGGCAGGTTCTCATTGCTCCTGTCATACATATGCATGCCAGTCTTTGCAGCCTTTGGAGCTGTTTCTGTGCGGTAACGAGCCTAGCTTGTTTACCCCAGGCTACTGACCCATATGTGAGTATTGGCCTCACAATTATAAGTTATAACCATCTGATAATTTGGGGTGAGGTCCCCCAAGATTTCCCTGCAATTTTCCGACAGGTGAAGAGAGCCCTGAGGCACTTATCCACTGTCTTTTGCATATGGGTTGCAAACGTTAGCCTCCTGTCGAGGGTAACTCCGAGGTACTTAACTTCCCGGCTTATTGCTACGGGAGTACATAGTTGCATGATTTGTCTCATCTTCTTTAGTTTGTACTTCTTTGTAAAAGGAACAATGACTGTTTTTGCGGGGTTGAGGTTAAGTCCAACTTCCCTGCACCAGTCGAGCGTTATCTTGAGTCCGAGTTGGACAATATCGCAAAGCGTTTCTTCAAATTTCCCTTTGGCTACTATTACTATGTCATCGGCATAGCCCTGACATTGTATTCCTCTGTCGGCGAGTTTCTTTAGTAGTTCATCTACTAGTAGGCTCCACAGTAAAGGAGACAGGACTCCACCTTGCGGACATCCTCTGCTTGTGGCAACGGTCATTGTGCTGTTGCCAATGGTCGCCATTGCCTGCCTGGAGCTTAACAAGGCTCCAGTCCACCTTCTTGTTGTCGCGTCTATATTCCTTCTGGCGAGGGCCGCTAAGACAGCATCATGCGACGCATTGTCAAAGGCTCCCTCTATATCCAGAAAGGCGCAGATTGCAACTTCTTTGTTGTCCACTACCCCTTCAAGAGTGTGACAAAGTTGGTACAGTGCAGTGTCTGTTGAACGACCCACCCTGTATGCGTGCTGCGTGGGATGCAGCGGACAGTCCTTAAGAACTGTGCTCCTAATATGGTAGTCTACCAGCTTTTCCAACGTTTTAAAGCAAAACGAAGTTAAGCTGATAGGTCTGAAGAACTTTGGGTTGGTGATGTCTTTCTTCCACCCTAGCTCTACGCCGCGCATTTGGGATGTGTCCAATTGCTAGGCTGCTTAGCATCAGTCTCCTTAAGCGGGTTAGGAGTAAATCCAGTCCCTGCTGCAGGAATGATGGAGAGATACCATCCAGACCAGGTGACTTAAATGGTTGGAAAGTCCCAATTGTTGCCCATTTAAGTCTCTCCGGAGAGACTAGAGACTTGGCGTCACGGAGTGGACATTTCTTCCATTGGGGTGGACGTATCTTCCGCCAGGGGTGAGCTCCTGGGGAAGTGAGTTGATCCCTGTCATCGGAAGTGTAGGTGTTATTACATTTCTTCAGGGCTAGGTTACTTTCTGGTGCAACTTTGGCCATAGCCTTGTGCAATCTTGCCCCTTCATGGGCTGTGCTGATTGCCTCACAGAAGTCTCTATAGTTCTTCCGTTTAGCTTTCCTGATCTCTTTGTTGTAGAGCATCAGGCTTTGTTTATATTGTCCCCAGTTATCCTCGCTCGTTTTTGCTCTGTTGAAGAGCCGGCGGGTGGAGCTTCGGAGCCGTTCCAGGTGGTTGTCATTCTGCCATGGGGCGTCTCTATCTGCTTTCCGTCTGCCAAGAGGGCAACTGTCCTCAAAAGCATTGGTTATCTTCTTGCAGAGGTTATCCACTCCCTGATCCAATTCGGTGCTCCGACATTGATTCCTCTGGCGACACATGCCAGTTCTTGATAAGTGGTCCTAGAGACCTGCTCATCAGAGTTATGTCTAGGACCTCCTCTCTTACTCTAGTAATGAATGTCGGTGTGGACCCGACATTACCGATTTCTAGGTTACTATTTACAATAAACTCTATTAGCTGCTCACCTCTGTTGTGATGTGCATTGGCGTCACATCCTATGATTAGGGGTAACTTCTTCCTCCTGCAGCATTCCACGAGTCCGATGATTTCCGGTGGTGGGCATGCTGCATCCCCGCCGATGCTATGGCGATTGCTGGTAACTTTCCTGTGCCGCTCAGCGTTACCGCGACACAGTCACTGCTTAGGAACTCTGAAAAGATATTATAATTGATATATTTCCTTATTAATATGCATGCTCTTGGGTGTGCACCCCGTTGGTCGCATATTACCTTTGATTCCTTGGTGTACAGGCCTTTAATGCCCTGATTGCACCAAGGCTCCTGAATGAGAGCTAGCCCGAGATATTGGGAGGTGAACAACCTGGCCAGGACGGCGGATGCCGCCTTGGCCCGGTGTAAGTTCACCTGGGCTAGCTGCGTGCTGCGGTGTGCAGCCATTACTGGAGCGGGTGCTCCATGTTTTGTGAAGGGGGCGGGCATTCCCCTTCACTGCCTTCCGTCAGGCTGACGTCGGCGTCCTTCTTGTCGATATCTTCTAGGCGGGGCTCTTGTGCCACCTCCTGGGAGGGCGAGGGATGTTTATCCTCACTCTCCACGTCCATATCGGCGATAGCCTCCTCCTTTGCACCCAATGGCTCTTGTGGCTTTTCGAGGGATTCCTCGACCTCCACTTTGCCGTCTTTGGGGCCGGGGGGCGCTGCTTCTGTTGCGGCCATCTTTGCCGCCTTCCTGAGACCACTCACCGAGACGGTCCCGAATCTAAAGTTCAGCTGGTGCCCTTTAGAGACGATCTCATCTCGGGTTAGTTGGTCTATTCCTACAACGAGGAGTGCCCCGCCTCCGTCGTTCCTTCGGGAGATCACCTTCCAGGAATCGACCTCCATTCTGTTCTGGCGTCCCAGCATCTTCAGAAGCTCCTCATTGCTTCTTTCTGCACTTCTAGGGCAGAAGACTGTGACATTGTATGCCGCAGGAATGTCTTCTCCTACCCTAGTGTCAAGGGGCACGCCCTTCCACGTCCTTAGCTGAGGCGTTACAGCCCTCAGCCAGTCCGCCGAGTCCTGGTCCAGGCAGTCTATCGGAAGGTATCCGACCCTAAAGTGGATACTTTTGAAGGCGACTGCTGAGTCCCATTCAGACGTGACTACATCGTCCATTATGGCCTCCTCCAGCTCGGCAAGCTCTTCGTTGCTCAGGTACACCTGCGGGTAGTCCTCAGGCAGTACCGCAACTCTGACTCTCTTGGCGGCCTTCGCGTAGGAGGTGTGTGTGCCAGTGAGAGAAGCCGTACAAGTGGAGGGTGGCTGCTTCTCACCGTTGTCACCCGCCTTCAGCACGTTGGGTGTGCCAGCAGATGCCTCAGGGGGGTCTCCTCGTCGCCGCCGCCTTCGATGTGCTTGGCTCATCAGGCCTTGGGACGGGGAGGTGCCGCTGCCTCTTTGATGCCCTCTGACTTGGACCTTTTCGGGGTGTCCATCGGAGGGGTGAGGGTACTATTTGCCCGCTTGCTGGCAGGGGCAACGTTTTGTGCCACTGGTCGTGGCTCCTTCGCCTTCTTCAAAGCTTCATCAGGTGTCATGCCCTGCTGAAGATACCTGAGGTACCATTTGACCTTGGACCCCGACAGGCCTTTCCTGTTGGTTGTCCTCTGGCTGGAAGGACATCTGCCTTATTGGCAGGCTTGGTCTTCTGTACAGCCGCGGGGGTGGGCAAGCCGGCCGGGATGGTCCTGCCGGTAGCCCACGTTCCCGAACTGGAACAGTCGATCGTTGTGGGGGTTGTCCCACATTCTGTGTCCGTGACGCACTCCTGATGGAAGCTGCGTTCCTGGGTGGGGCTGGTCCCACCTGGGGTCGCACTCCGTCAAGGAGTCTGTTTTCCAAGAGCCTTGCGGCACTTGATGCAGGGATATCCTGCGGCAATTTGGTGTTCGTATGTTTCTTCATAGTCGAATCCCACGAGTTGCGGAGAAAGTATGGTCCACCCGGGCAGAGATCCGCCATACCCGGGTAAGGCCTGAACCCTCCGTGAGAGACTGGGCTATTTGTTAATCCGGGCCCCCCAGCCAGGCTGACCATCGGCACGGGTCGGATGACACCTTAGTCCGGCCCGGAGTGAGATTGTGTGGGGAGGGGAGTTGATAGGTAGTCGTGAGGGAAGAGGAATGTGTGAGGCTATACTTTTGAAGACGGCCATACAAACGTCTCATCAGTACACCGACTCCGGTGTACCCGCTGTTTGTCCGGGGTTGCTTATTAGCTTGCGCTTATTCGCAACTAACCTTATAAAAGGCCGTTCGCTATCCGCAACCTGCGACTCGCCTGGTGGCCCCAGCTAAGCCCCCTCTTGAACATCCCACTAGCTCTCGAGGACCAAGAATATAACTATATATAATAATATAATAATATAATATATATAATACTAGCGGACCCGGCGAACTTTGTCTCGCCTCAATTTCACGATTTCATATAACCCCATAGTAATAATAGAACACTGGTAACTCAAATTTTTTGTGAAATTTTTTTGACTTGAAATCATTGGAGAGCGATGTGATAAACAAAATTTTTTGTTTTGTTATCCGGTGCAAAAATAAATAATGATGACGACTTCCCGACACGCGAACAGTCTCCGTATAACTGTCCATGTGAAAAACATTGATTTTCCAGATTTATCCCGCAGACTTCCAACGACTGGCCTCGCGATTACTGGGAACTAAATCATCTTAAATTTGAATGGAAGAGCTGATGGAATAATCGGAATCCTTGGGATAAGAACTCCTCTCCTTTAAATTTATCCTTGATGATCGTCGCTTGAATCGCGTTGTTCATTAGTTTCTTAACGGACAACCGCGTACCGTTGCATAATCTCGGATGATTTAGATTCCGCAGCATTATAATAACCAGGGCTAACAGAGTTATGTTTTTAAATGAAAAAATATTTATTTCCATATTTTCGCCTTTTTTCCTATAAATCCATATTTTACACAATCACTTGAATAAATCCATATTTTGAGCATTAAAGCTTAAATATTATGAAATTTCTGTCGTTTGCCTTATACTCATCGATTACTTATCGATTAATTTTATATGTATTTACATTAATGGTATTCCTTATTGTCTAACGATAGGTTGTATTCCGTATTTGCCTATATTATTTCATCGAATCTTATGTAGTGTTGTTAGTTTCCGTTACTTTCAAGATTTACTTAATCATGCCGAAAACACAAAAAGAAAGTACACGCGGGTTTTTGACGCGAATGCTACGCGAATATCCACATGTTTTTCGTGCAGATGAATCCGTTTTATTTTGTAAATTCTGTGAAGTGAAAATCAACGCCACGCAATTATTTCAAGTCAAGCAGCATATTGCAACACAGAAGCATGTGAATTCGGTTTCTAATAAATAAAAGAATCAGCAATTGAGCCAAACCTTAGTGACGCAATTTCAGCAATCAACACATGGACCGAAATTAAGTGGTTTCTGCACGCAATTGGCAAACACTTTTCTACGTGCAGATATACCATTGCACAAAATTGCACATCCGTGCATGCAAGAATTCATCTCCGAGTTTACGGGTTTTGCAGCACCTTCCGAAAGTTCACTTCGAAGTACATATGTATGTATGTGCCAAAATTGTACGAAAATTGTCTGGAAAAAATGCGTAAAAAGGCCGTGGACAATTACATTTGGATTACTGTAGACGAATCGACGGATTGTGAACAAAGATTTGTCGCTAATTTCGTATTCGGTGTTTTGGGCGTCGAAGAGGAGAGAGGCCTCAGTTATTTATTTTCCATCAAAATACTGGAGCTTATTAATAGCAACACACTTGCCACATTCTTCAATGACTGTTTAAGTTCACTTTGGCCAGCTGGTATGTTTAGCATGTAGTGAAATTTGTATTGAAATTGTTTGTTTGTTGCTCAAAAATAAAATTTTACTTACAGGAATACAATACGATAAAGTTTTGTTGGTCGTAACGGACGCGGCGCCATATATGATCAAAGCTATGAAAAGCCTGAAAGTGCTTTATCCAAAAATGGTTTATTTGACGTGTTTAGCTCATGGTTTACATCGCGTAGCTGAAACAATTCGTACTAAATATTCGAACGTCAATAATCTGATTTCAAACGTGAAAAATATCTTCGCAAAGGTGAGTTTGGAATTTGCAGATTACTGTAATATACCGCGGTTTGACGTTTACATTCATTTGCTACTCCTCGCAGGCTCCACTTCGACGCCAAAAATTTGCGCAAGCGTTTCCAAATATTCCACTTCCACCTAGGCCAATTATTACTCGCTGGGGCACGTGGATTGAGGCCGCCATATATTTTGCCGATCATTTTGAAGAAACGCGTTCAATCATCAACTCTTTCGATGCGGATGATGCTGAATCTATTCGAGCAGCTCAAGACCTACTGGCTATGCCAAGCATTAAGATTGACTTAGCTTATCTCAAAAGAAACTACTCGTGTATTGTAACTGCGCTGAATTCGATACAATCCCAAAAAATGTTTGTGCCTGATGGAATTGACCTGTTCTTAAAAGTTGGTGTCCAATTGAAAATGGGGAACGATTCAGTCATTTGTCAAAAGTTTGATTCTGTATCAAATAAGAATCCAGGTCTGCGAATTCTTCAGGACATATCGCGAATGTTAGCAGGAAATCTGATTGATAGTTCTACAGAAGGTGACGATCTTATCGCGAATTTATCACCTGCTGAGCTGAATGCATATGCAAATGCTCCTGTTACAACTTGCGATGTTGAGCGTTCATTTTCATCTTATAAACATATATTAAGTGACAAACGCCGTAGTTTTATTTTTAGTAATCTTACACAACATGTCATACTATTCTGCAATAATCTTTAAGACATTAAAATATAATATGATCGATATAATCGTCTACGTTTATTCATTTTTATACCTATATTTATCCCTTTTTTCTTCCATATTTCGTCCATATTTCTCTATTTTTTCGTCCATAAATCCATACATATTTTAACGTTTTTAAGAACATAACTCTGTTAGCCCTGATAATAACTGATCCCGCCTTCAGTTGCAAATTATGCGGCGGAGTTCCTGGCACATCCAGTGAGTTCAAAAATTCTGTCGGATAGTTGGTCGCTTCATCCTCTATTATTTTGTCGGGCTTGAGGTGGGGTTTGTGCAGCGCGAAGCTGTGCCATTCAGGCACGTGTCGATGCATTTATTTCTGCACGTTCCTCTTGCGTCCGACTATTACGGAAATTCGGACTATTTATTACATTGCGCGAACGCCGTCCAAGTCCTAATCGTCTAACAGCAGGCATTATTTCAAATTGTTTAAGCTCGCTCGATTTTTTTGTTTAAATATTTATTTACCGACTTCATCGATACACAATATCAACGCAGCTATGATCTTTTTTTACATACAACATTGTGTACATCTGTTGAGCCGCTAGCGACTTTTCCAGAAGGTTTTCCCAAAATTTTCTTATGCTATAACCTTCTTCTGGTTCTAAGCTATCTCCATACCAATTTTTAGCCAAATCGGTCAAGCCGTTTTTATGTGATGCGATTGCGCACATTTTTTGTCTCCATTTTTATATATATAGATAACTATTTTTCATGAAAGATTATTTTTTTAAACGCTAAGTATGCTACTTGGCAAGGCAGTTGCCCTTGTATTTTTATTTTTCTTATAAAGTTTATAGCTAATATTATTATTATTCCAATAGCTAACATTAACCATGCATGACCAGTATGACCATGATGAAAATCTAACTCATGCAATTTCAGCTTATGTATCTTCAAGTAACTTATTTCGTTTAAAAATTTCTCAATTTCTTCAGTATGATTAATTGTTGGTGTATCTATTGGACTCCAAACCACTTTAAAAATTTCGTGTGATGAGCAACTTATATATCTCATCTATTTGAACAGTGAAATCTGCTTTAATTATTATTTCTAGTTTGGATTTAAGTACTGCATAGAACTCGAGCCTTAGAGCATCGCTGTACTCTAAACTTCTAATGTTAATTTCCATTCGTACTCTATCTTTTTCGTCCATTATCCCAAACAATATGTGATATAGTGATCTCATAAAACTAAAAGGCGCTCGCCTATTTCTTGCCTTACTTTGATTCATAAAAGGTTTGCTATTTTCTTCCAAGTCTGAGATCTTCCTTTCTGTATTATCCAAAACTAAAAGACACTGATCTTCGAAACTGTGAAGTCTTTCGCAAATCACTCTTACTTTGGGTAATAGTTCTTTGCCTTAATTTAACGTTTCAAAATCGGCAGCCAGATTATAGTAAATTACTAAATTCCAAGAAGAAGCCAAAATCTCCACAATTTTTGTGACAGGTCTAGTGATTTATCCATCTTGTATTTTAATATCTCTCTGTGGATGTGGTCATTTGTTGTGTATCTGTCTGAGTTAGATATTATTCTTAATATTTTCGTCTGGGCTCTTTGTATTATGATGAGGTTGAATTTACTGGCTGTTCCCCATATTTATATTCCTTATTTCCAGATTGGTCTTATTATTATTTTATAAATTAGTAACTTGTTTGATACCTTTAAGTTTGATTGTCTTCCCAGAAGCCAATGGAGTTGTCGAAATTTGTTTTTTACTTCGTTTCGTTTGTTTATTATATGATTTTTTCACGTGAGTTTTGAGTCAATAGTGAGTCCCAGGTATTTGGCGCTTGTACTTAGTTTCAGGATTTCGTCATCTAATTTTATTCTTGTTGGGGTAGTTATTTTCTTTTTTGTGGATACCACCTGTTGTGTTTTATCCTTGTTTATTTTAATGCCCCATTTCTCAAACTATGACATTGTTGTTGTTAGGATCTCTTGAAGTGTGTTTGCTGCTCTTTTTTTTGTGTAGCTAGAGGCCATTAGCACTGTGTCGTCAGCAAAAGTTGCAATCCTGGAACCATGGGTCAGTGGATTTGGGATGTCTGCTGTGTATATAAGGTAATTGGTCCTAGTACGCTGCCTTGGGGTACACCCGCTGCCACAGGCATAAGATCTGAACATTCATCGTCGCATTTGATATAGAAATATCTGTTGGTCAAGTAAGTTTTTAGTATGGTGAATAGGTTAAGTGGTAGGATGTTGTGAAGCTTATGGAGTAGTCCTGTATGTCATACTTTGTCAAACGTCTTTGCAATGCCCATGTATTCTGTTACGCAAACTTTCTTGTTGTCAAAGTCTTCTGATATTTTGTTTATAACTCTGTGCACTTGCTGGACCGTCGAGTGTTTTTTTCGAAAACCAAATTGATGGCGTGGGATCACATTTTGTTCTATTAAGATAGGGTTGATTCTGATCGGTCTATATGAGCTAAAAAGAGCTGCACTTTTATGAGGTTTTGGGATTGCTGTAATCTGGGCAATTTTCCACTTCGAAGTGAAGAACTTCAATCTTATCACTGCATTAAAAATGTCTCTTATAAACCTAATCGTATTGTCTAGCAGCTCTTTTAGTGTTTTACCACTGATTTGATCATAGCCCGGTGTCTTTTTGTCTTTAACTTTTAATATTTGTTCTCTTGTTTCGTACATCGTCGTTTTCTGATTGCACAGTTGGTTTTGGGTAATTGTGATGGAAGCTCATTGTTTTGGTTGTCCATACTGTTTGTAAAAAATTCCTCAAAGTGTTCGGCCAGTGTGTCAGCTTTTTCTTTTTTTATTCTTGCCCATGAGTTTTTCTTTGTCTTTATTGGATGTTTATGTATAGTTGCTTTTGTCAGTTTTTTAGTCGCTTTCCATAGGGAGTAGTTTGTAGGTATCGTTGTTCCCAGATTTTCCAGCTGTCTCCCGATTTGGCTTTCGTTGTACTCTTGTAGCGATTGTTTGAGTTCTTTTGTTGCACGGTTTAGCTTGGTTTTGTCATTTGGATGCTTGATGGACTGCCAGATTTTTCTTAGTTGGCGTTTATGTTTGATTTTGTCTTTTATGTGTAATGGAGTCCTTTTGGTTATTACGGGGTTCAGAGCCGGCTTCGATTGCCATAGAGCTTTAATTATGTTGTCGATTAAGTGCACTATAGCTGAGTCTAGTTCTTCGTTTGTTTTTAGGGAGGCCATAGTATCCGTGTTGTCAAGTAATATCTCCCTGAATATGTTCCAGTTCGTTTTGTGGGTGTGGCTCGGAGTGTTTCTTGTCAGGTCTGCTGTGCTTTTTATGGTTACTAAGATTGGTGAGTGACTTTATTATTATGTTTTGGTTTGTCAAGTTTTTGGTAATGCAAAAGTCACTCAAGTAGGGAAGTTTTTTTGTGTCCGTTGGCCAGTAAGTTGGCTCTCATGTACTTATTGTACGGCTATTATTGGCTTTCATAGCTTCGTATAGTTGTCTTCCCTTTGCATTTGTCAGACGCGATCCCCACATGGCATGTTTGGCGTTATAGTCTCCTCCTTTGGTGGGTTGATGTTTGAGGTTTGTTTTTTTGTAGAGCTTCTGCGTATGATATTTTGGATTTGATCAAGTCATGTGTAGTTTTTGTGGTATTTCTTTTTGCTGGAGACTAGGATATTTTTAGAGTTGTAAGGCTTTGTAGACCATACAGCCTTTGTAGTTGGAGGTGTGGTTCTCGCTACAGAGAGCGTATTTTATTTGGATCTTGTTAGAGGTGGTTACTTGTTGGTGGCAGTTGGCTTATTGGTGCTTACCAGAGCATTTTACGCAAATGGGATCCGTATTTTTGGCAGTTTGTACATTGCGGTATTATACGTTTTAGGTGCGGTGGCTCAAAAGCAACTTTGCAGTGTAATAAATGGCTTATTTTGTATATATCTTTATTGTTGTCTTGCGTTTTAAGTTCAATTGTGAAGAGGGGGAATGGCTTTTTTGTGTCATTGCGCTGAATGTTGTGGATGTTTAGTACTGTGTGCCCAAGGTCGGCTAGTTCGTTAATTATTTCGTTTTTTTCGGAACCATGATGTACGTGGCGGAGTATTACTTTAAATCATCTCTGATCTTTCGGTCTGTACGTGTAAAATTTGGTCTCTTTGTCTTTAAGCAACTTAAGGATGTTTGTGTAGTGTATATTTTCTTGTGGTTGTATTTTTATTTTGTTCGTTGGGATTGCTTTTAGTTTGAACTTTGTCTCGGGCAGTGAGTTTAGTGCAGTTGTTAGTACGTAGATATTTTCCACATTTTGTATGTAGATCGGTGGAGGTTTGGGTTTTCGCTGTGGTATTTGCGCGGTTAGGTTCCGGTCTGTTACATTGCCACTTTGAGCTTCATCGTTTTGCTCATGTGCCAGCAACTCAAAGCGGTTGTTTGAGCGTGGTTCTGCCAGCCAGTACTCTTTGAGTGTTTTTTGAGTTGCTCTTTGGTTTTTGTTAGTTTACTTGTCCAGGCGACTGTCTATCACGAGTCCGTTTAAAGCATTGTTTATTTAGTTGCGGCTTAATTCGTTCGGTAATTATATTATCCACTTGCTTGCGCGTTGTTGTAATAGTACAGGACAATCCGGAGGAGTAGCTTGTTGTAGTTGTTGTTATTAGGGGTGCTGTCGTTGTTGTAGATGTTGCAGATGTTGTGGAGAGTGGCAGAGACGATGTTAGTAGCTTGGAGTTTATTAGTATGGTACTTGCTGCGTTATTGGAAATCGTTGTTGACAAATTTGTGGGTTGTAATGACGTTGGGGTTGGCGGGAGAGTAGAGAGCGTAGGCAACGGTGAGGTGGATTGCTCCCTCCAAGATAATTGCTCCTTAGGGAGAGCGGCTGGTGTTTTCGTGGTACCGTTTTGATTGTGGTTGTTGTTGTTAGGCGTTGCTTGTAAAAACGCAGGAGAGCAAAAGCGTGCTCTCTGAGGCTGCACTGTTGTTGTCGGCGCTTGACTTTATTGTAAAGTTGCGTTGTTGATGCTTGGGCGAGGGCACGCACTCTGAGTTTGAGTGCAACGCTCACACATTTTTGCTTGAAGGTGGCTT